CATTTGGGACCATCCACCGAGGTCCACCCCTGGTCATACCATGGCAGCCAGTGCCTCTTCCCTCCACCCTGATACAGGAGACACAGAATGACACCTCCCAAGGCCCCCCCAAGAGATCCCAGTAATCCCAAGCCCAGTTATGTAGAAACCAAACCACATGACCCATGAGAATGTCCCTCAGGGTCCACCCAAGGAGATCACAAGAACCTCAAACTATTTCAATGTCCCAAACAATACGACAGAGCCTAACACATTTTCCTCCCTACCTCAAGGTCCACCCCATATCATCTCTTGGCACCAATAAACCCCAAACCAAGAAACACGGAGAACATCCCAAAAGGCCCATACCAAGAGATCCTCTGGACCCCAAGGGCTCTCATCTCTCAAAGTACTTGAATCAGGAGAACACCTTCCAACATGTACCACAGATCATCCCATAGCAGGCAATATAGCATCCCTCGAGTCAGCATATGGGAACAGATGAGAACAGCCTCATTATTAACCCCAGGAGATCTCTTCTACTATTAATGCTCATAACATAACATAGGGAGGTAGGACTACCAAGATCAAAGCAAGGAGATCACTTTCCCTCTTAGTCTTTTGCCAAGACAAAGAAGAGATAGCTGGGACCACCCCACAAGATAAATTCCAAAGCACCAAGTCTAATGTTGCCCTCTCCAAGAACATCACCAATTAAGAGGCAGCGAAAACAAGTCCCAAGATAAGCCCCAAGACCCATTATCACTCTCACAAAAGGCATGACCCAGGAGAACTTCCTTCAGGGTCCCCCCTTTAGGCCATCCTGCCGACCTCAAACCCTTTTAGTTATAGGCCAAACTGCATGACCAAAGAGTACAGCACCCCACCCCCATCATCTACCCCAAATCATCCAACACTTTCTGACATTCAGCTAGAGACAGGTAAGAATACCCCCCCCCCCAATATCAACACCAGGAGATCCCTTCTTTACCAACATGGATAATGAAGAGTCAACAGGGAAAGACCCCCAAAGCATCCCTTTCACTGTTATCCCTCTTACTAACAGAGAAAATAAAGATAGGTGAGCACACTCCCAAGGGATTTCTTCCACTGTTGCCCTTTTTACTGTCATAGACAATGATGAGACACCTGAGAACACCTCCCACCAAGGTGAACCTGAGATTTCACGAACTGTTGCCCCCCTTGACCAGAGTATGAAGAGGAAGCTGCCCCTCGAGTGCTAGGGAGGCTGTGGACATGTCTCTCGATTTGGGGTGCTGAAGGCCTGAGTTCTTACACTCCGGTGCTTATTACCTACAGGATCTTAGCAATGACTTTGACCTTCTTTGAGCCTCAGTTTCCTCCTGCACAAATGGGAGTGGATGGGAGCAAGCATGACTCAGATGCCCTCTAAGGTCCCTTCCAGCTCTTCATCTGTGTTTCTTAGAGACAGAAAAGGCACCACTGGCCAATCTCCAAGGGCCATCCCTGGTCAGAGCACATATACAGTAAAATGTTCAGTGCTGGGCACTACAGGACATTGATAATTTAGAGAGTGCCCAGAGGAGGGAAACCAGCAGAGGCAAGTACCTCAAGCTCTTGTCATGGGACTTTAAAGAGCAGATTTTTGCCCTGGAGAAGACCTGGGGTAAACATAGTTATCTTCAAATATTCAGAAGATAGTGACCTGGAAAAGGAATCTGATATCTGCTTGTCTGCAGAGAGCAGACCTGGAAGCAATAGGTGGTGGCGGCAAAGAGGCACATTAAGTTTTGATATGAGGAAAACTTCCTCACATTGAAAGGTATCCAACAATGGTAGGGAAGGAAACTGGTTCCCCTTTGAGAGAAAACTACGGGCAAAGTCTAGAAGAAGACATTTTGAACCTAGTGTGGTTGGGCATTCTTGTTCAATAGGTCGGACTGAATTGTGTGCTCCTTTCTAACTCTGACATTCTCAGAACATTATCTGGGGTTTGGATTCAAGGCCTAAGAATAAGAGTAAAAAAAAAGACATGCTTAGGAAACTTTCTGTCCCTTTATACTTCACAAATAGGTATGCAGGGATAGGGATCAGAGACTGCAATGCACAAATAGGTATGCAGGGATAGGGATCAGAGACTGCAATGGAGGGGGAACCCAAGGCTCTCCATTAATTGGAGTCCAAGCTGTCACCCTGAATCGCTGTGTGATCAGGGCCATGTCACATGACTAAGCTAAGGCTGTTTCCCTATCTAAAAAATGGCAAACCTCCCTCCCCCACAGGGTGTATGTGAACCAAGTAGACTGAAAAAGGCAAAGTAGATCCTTTACCCCAACTTTACCTTACCATTGAGACCTCCCTCCTCATCCAAGGCTAGAAGGCCAGGGAGTAGAAGAGATGCAATCTTCACCACTGGCGAGCAGTGACCCAGCCTACCCACTGGCATGAACAAAATAAAGATAGCACTCAGCTAGCAAGAGTCCCAAGGCCTGGGGTCCATCTGAAGCCCAACCTGGGGGATGGGACAAGGACAGAGGAAAACAGGAAGAGAGATGCTAAGAACTTGTCTCTCATAGTGCCACAGTTGTAACTGACCCCAGGAGCCAACACAGGCAATCCCATGCACCCCAAGCTGATTTTTACATCTCAAACCGCATGACAGATGGCAACATCCCCCAAAGCCCACTCCACGTCATACCATGGCAGCTAGTGCCTCTTCCCTTCATCCTCAATCAAGACACACAGGAGAACACCTCCCAAGGTCTACCCCAAAAGACCAATGGTTCCCAGGCTGTTATCTATATCCCAAACCATGCGATCCAGGAGAACATTCCTTGGGGTCCACCTCAAACTATTTTAATGTCTCAAAAAACATGACAGAGCATAACTCATCCCATGCACCCAAGATCCACTTCAGGTCATCATATGGTATCCAGTACGTCCCAAACAGGAAACACAGGGAACATCCCAAGAGATCCCACAGACCCCAAGGCCTCTCATCTCTCAAATCATCTGACCCAGGAGAACACCTTAAAACACGTACCACAGATCATCCAATACTAGCCAATACAGCTTGCCTAGAGCCAGCACCTAGGTACAGATGGAAACATCCCCCATCACCAACCCAGGAGTTCTTTTCGATTATTAATGCTCTTAGCATAATGATGATGAAGAGAGGCAAGACTACTCCCCAAGATCAACCCCAGAGCACAGAGTCCACTGTTGCCCCTTTTACCAACATGAAGAATTAAAAGGTATCTGAAATAAACACTCCTGAGATAAATCCCAAAGGTATTCCACGAACCCCAACCCCCATTATCATGCTCACAAAAGACATGACCTGAGAGAACATCTCTCAGGGTCTACCTTTAGGCCACCCTGTGGACCTCAAGCCCCTTCAGAGACCAAACCACACGACCCAGGAACACATCACTCTCCCCCCACATCAAACACACACCACCATCAACCCCAGAACAGCTCAAGCCAGGCAATATTCCTTCCTGACATTCAGCAATAGACAGATAAGAATACCCTCCAGTATTAACAGCAGGAAAGCCCTTCTACTGGAAGAGCCTTTACCAACATGGACAATGAAAAGACAGCAGAGAACCATCCCCAAGATCATTCCCAGGGGATCCTTTCACTTTTATCCCTTTTACGAACATGGATCAATGGCTGAGAAAACCCTCCCACGTCATCTCCAGGGGATCCTTTCCACTGTTCTCTCTTTGACCATCACAATGAAGAGGTAGCTTAGAACACCTCCCAAAACCATGCCCTTTGAATAGCTTTAACTGTTCCCCCTTTGACCACCATAAACAATGGATAGCTGAGAACATCTCCTCAGCATCATCCCCATGGGATCCCTTTCATTGTTATCCTTTTTTACTAACAGAATGAAGAGGTGGCTCAGAACACCTCCCATCATCCCCAGGGGATAACTTCAACTATTCTCCCTTTGACCACGAAGAGACAGCGGAGAGCATCCCTCCCCCCAACATCATCCCCAGTAGGTCACTTCTATTCTTCCCCTTTTGACCACCATGGACCATGAAGACTCAGTTGAGAACACCTCCAGCCAAGATGAACCCCAAAGAATCCCTCCCACTGTTACCTCTTTAATCACAGGTGAGGAGACAGCTGACAATAGCATCAATGAAGGTCTTCTGCTGGCAATTCCTTACACCCCAATATCCTTTGAATAATTCCCCCCATCTGGTCTTAAAACGCACATCTTAATATGTACATCATCTCTCCCCACGTGGATCCCTATACTACTTTTGCCCACCTCATATTTTTCAACCTTCTGCATCTAACCATAATAAGGACTTTCAAGTAAGACATCTCTCAAAAACATTCAAGGCATTCATTCACCTTGCCTACTTACCTGTTAGTGGCCCTGAGTGGGTCCCTAGACTCATGCTTTCATGTTCTCATTTTACCTCTCTTCCTCCTGTCTGGATATACCCAACTAAACCAAGATATTCTATGCACTGAGTTGTCACACCTGATGAGGGGAAAACAATCTAGATCCAGTAGGAGGTCTGTCTTATGGGAACTGAGGGAATCTCAGCTGTACCATAGGAAAGTCCTCCTCCTCCTGAAGGCTGGGATGGGATCTCAGCATCTAAACTCTTCCAATCCCAAGTCTTTCATGCTATATTTGCTCTACTTAATATCTATGAGCTCTTAGGAAATCATGTCTGTCCTGGCTCTTATATAAGAAACAAAATTCTCAGGTCATTTCCTCAGCAAAGCTCCTCCCTAAAATGGGCCCCCAACTCTGCTCTCACCAACAAAACTGGCTTAGACTGCAATCCCCTTAGGACTTGAGGATGGCCATTCACATAGTTTCCACGGTCAAGATTGCTCCCCAACATTTTTACGTCAGCCATTCATATCCCTCACAGACTCCCTATTCCTTATACTGGCATTCAATGGGTCCAACAATTGATTCCCCCTTAATTATCCTCCAGGCCCTAAAACACACTGGAGTTTACATTCAGGCTGGTATCTTCCCTGTCCACATAGCATCCATGTTCAATTTTTGAAGTATTTATTAAGCCACCAGGCACTAGGTATTGGGGACAAAGACAAATATCCCAATCTTTACCCTCACAAAGTTTACAGTCTAAGAGAAATAATACATATTCCAATAATAGTAAGCAAAAATGGGCCAAGAATTTAAAACTGGAGGAGGACTTAGAGATTATCTAATGAATCCCCAATTTGACAGATGAGGAAACAATCCCAGAGGTTATATGACTGGCCTGAGGTGAGCTATCACCATAGTTTAAAACAACAACAACAACAACAAAAAACCCCCCAGTAAATACTATGTTCTCATCAAGGACAAAGGAGTGGTCAAGTGCTGAAAACTACAAGGGAACAGCCAACTTCAGTTGAGGGAAGGGAGTAAAGACTCCCACTCCAGTACCTTTTTCAGATGAGATTCTACCAAGTTGGACCAACTTACTAAGCTGACCCAGCCACTCCATCCTGCAGAGATCTCCATTCCCTGACCCCCTTAATCACTTGTCTGCACCTTCCAATAAGGCTGGGCATTCTTTATAGGGCTTCTTTGCTTTAGTTCAGGAGCCTGGAATAGGGGCCATCTCAATGGAACCGTTTAAGCAATGCTGAGAACAACGCTCAACCACCAAGTACCTATTGCTTTGAAGTCAGTTCTTCTCCACCCTCAATAGGGTCATACTTTGAACAACAAATTAACACAATACAGCCTAAATGCCTTGGGTAAGGTAATACCCTTACAATGCTTTGCTCTTCTTATTTATATTCTATTTAATTGCAGAATATTGGTCCAAATATCAGCCACACTTTTTACATATGAATTAAAGAAATCCAGAATGGCCTATTATCAGTTCTTTCCCCCTATTGCATTACATATATATTTTCCAAAGAGATACCAACTCTATTTCCTTTGTGGGTGACCATAGCCATGGCAATTCCTCTCTACGGTCCCAAGCTCCCTCACCTGTAAAACAAGAGTGTTGCTCTAAGTTTTAAGTGATTTGCAAGGAGCTTTCATGCTGTAAATGCTATGATCCTATGTAACTTCACCTTAGGGATATGGCCAAAATTGTGACCAAAATGGTAATGTGTCTATCTTCTACCCTCTCCTACAAGGTCATAAGCTGATCCGATCTTATTATTTTATTATTTGCCTCAATGCCTAGGACCTGGACTTGCAAACAATAGGTATGTCAGGATGACCAGGAACGGTCATTTCAGAGTAGTCAAGCAACCTCCAAAAACATGAGGAATGAGACACAGTCCAGAAAGTGGAAGGTTTTGGCCAGGGGTTGCATGGGCTAGGAGAAAGGACACAGAGAGGGGTGAGAACACTCAAGAAAAAAAAAGTCCTTCTTCGGGTTGTTTCATGGATGCCGGTGTTGTCTTTTCAACAAGATCCTCAATGCTCGAATGACAGCAAATGTCCTTTTTGTATCCCACCTCTAGTCCCCCAAACAACATGAACAGCGATAGGCCCATGGAAGATGATCAAAACACTCTATTACTGATTCATTAGTTTCACTACTAGAAAACTAGATCACGAATAATTTAGTGACAAGATTTTCATAATTGGTTAAAATCTATTAACATAAGTGGAAAGTAGATCTACAATGAAGCATTTCTTAACCATATAATCAATACGTGACCCCCAAGTTATCAAAGACGACAGAATTTTTTTACTGATTGTTATCTTATTAGAACACCCACGACAGGTCAGCAATTTTGCTAAAAGGGCACAAGATGCTTCTTCCCCAAATAGAAACCAACTCTTCCAACTCAGTCTGCTGGGCTAGGAGACACCAAAGCCTCTTCTCCTGCCAAAGTGCCCAGGGAATAACCAAAGGATTCATCAAGGTTATATGCTGCCTTATGCCATAGGCTTCTCCAGAAGCAGAGATGGTCCATAACTCCTCTTCCCCATCCCTAATCTTCAGCAAAGCCTTGAAGAGGTGAAAGCAAGGAACTGACACTAGGGAAAAAACCCAAAGGAGGCTGCATCCACACCTGCAGACCACATTTTCCTGCAGTACAGACACTGTATATCTGAAAGGATGTTGCTGTTCTGGTAGGATTTCTTTTTAGAATTGGGGAAATAGTGCCATGAAAAAAACAATGTCCAGATAAAGCCAAAGAGAAGGTAACAAAGTGCTTCCCATTCTTAGTTGACCTTTTCCAAAGGCAGAGACCAGCAGCCTTCAGAGTTTCTTTTAGAACGCTTTCTTGTTTTCCTGCTCAATTCTGAAATCTACAGGACAAACTGAAACTCTTTCAGTCGAAGGGGAGTTAACCTGATTTTCTCCCTTCTCACCTTCTCCCAGACAATATTTAAGTCAAAATAGGTTATAGCTTTTTTGCTTCCCTACCCCTGTAAAAGAGTAAAATAATCCCTAGCTCAATTCCCCTTGTGGAGAGAAAAAAGTCAAGACTGCCATGAGCTTTCCTAAGTGGAGGAGCGGCCTGGGGTAAGAAGCAAGGAAACAAAACAAAGCAGAAATTCAAAAGAGGTTCAGCAAGGGTAACTAAAAAGACCAGAACTAAAAAACTTTGCAGTCTCCATCCAAAGGTCACAAATCTACCCCCAAAGTTGGAAGAAGCCACAGGTGATGCCACAGGAAGATTCCAGAGGTCCATAACTTCAGGAATTTCCCCACTCCCCCTCCAGCCCCTTGCTCTCCAGCATAGCTCTAGAGATCTAAAAGCAAGGAGCCAACACTAAGGAAGAAGCCCAAAGGAGAATCGATTTGGCTCCTACCTATTACACTGGGTGCACAAAGAGGCTTAAGAATAAGTAGGGTCCCATTACCCAAACCACTTCACAAACACAGTTCCCATCACTACTCATATGAGCATTGGACATTCTATCAGCCCATGTTCCAGGCTGGCAAAAGAAACCAAAGATGGGAGGTAACTTCTTCCCACAGGACTGATTTGAATAGGCCAACTGGTTGTTGAAGTTGGGTTTTCTTTCTCTAAGAGAAGCTGGGCTTGGCTGTGGAATATGGAACGCCACCATCCAGGAAAACCTCTACTCTGGGCTAGGTTTTTCTCCAGCTAGCTGATCACTGCTTCTCCAAGGCCATAAGGAAGGATTATGGCAGCTGAGCTGCCCTACCCTCGGTTTGGGAGCAGGCACTCAGTGGCCTCAGAAATCTTCCTGTCAGGACTTCTCATTGTCCACAACTTTCCATGTCTTCACCACCTCCCAAGCTGGGGGCTGTCTTGCATCTGGTCACCAAGAAGACATCAGGGATGGTCTGAGAACCTTCAGAACCAGATAACACATGAGAATTCACCCATGGCCACCACGAGATACAGAGGGCTAGTGAGGGAAGTGAAGGTCCCTGTGGAGAGGGTGGACACTTATAGACCCCTTGCTGTACTTGCTGGCCCAGTCACTTCTATTGCTACAGTCGGTAGAAACCTTATCTTCAGTACAAATATTACAGGCCTGAAGTGATGTCCCATATATGACATGATTTTCATTGGGAGAATTGGGCCACCTTGCCAGGACAATGAAGACATGTAGCTCTCAGAACTGCTATGGTGAAGACAGTCTCCTCCTGCTGGGTCCCTCTTCTAGGGTCTCCTCTCTTCAAGTCACAGAGGCAGGGGCCTGCTGCCTTCAATGCTTCCAATGGAGAGCCCCAGTTCTAAGATCATTTGCCCCGAGTTCCCTGTGACATTTCCTGCAGGTGCTCAGCATTTTGGGGACCACATACTGTAAGTGACTTGGCACTAGAATAGGGCCACTATGATTCCATGATAATAATGTTACTGAATTGACACTGGCACATTGGAGAAGCCAACCTCCATCCCGAGGCTCAGCCCCTCTACTGATCTAGTGGGTCCTTTTCATTACCAAACCATTTCTTCACGCTGTGGGTGGCTGGGAGAAAAGAGCTGCTCCATCCCAGCCGGGGACCTCTCCCCAATCCTTTTTGGCTTTGAAACTGTCCAGGTTGCCCCTCTTGGCTCTGCCTTTTCTATCAATTGGTACCTCAGTTCTGTCTCCTTGGCAGTTTGCTGTAGACTGGCTGGCACCCAGGATATTCTTGTCTCACCTTCAGGTAAAGAACAGAAACAGACACTACCACAGTGGATACTAGAAGCCAAATTATCCATAGATGTGACAGTTCCTTAAGTAGAATCTTAAGATGGGAACACATTGGCTTTTTTTTGTGTTTAAAATAGATTTGTTCAAAAGGTTAATTTCTGTCCATTTACATCTAATCATAAAAGCCTATGTAAACATTTTTTCTCTTTCTACCTCCCCCCATTATTTGCACAATTTTTTTTTGTTAAGTCCAAACGTAATTTGAAATGAGGTAGGTAATTTCTATGTATTCCCGCCTTAGTCCTTTTTGGTGACTGGCTGAGAATTATGCCAATTTGAAAAACAAATAGTCCAAATGGAGCTGGAGATGCACATCCAGAGGGTGTAGGTCAACTCTAGCCAATGCTTTTCAGTTGGCTATTTTCTCAATCTCATCCAGATCATCGGTGTCCAATCTGTCTATCTTCTTATCTGCAAAGAAATTAAACCACAGAGAATCAAACCAGGGCCACCTTGGAGAGTCTATTTCAGGTACTGTTGCAACACGAGGACAACCTACAAACCTCTGCTTTACCTAAAAGCAATATCCAGCTACCGGGCCAAGATGTTCCTTCCTCATCTGATTGATGATGCCTTGAAGCAACTGAGCATCACATCAAGCACCACACGACAACCCGGACGTGCGCATGTAAGGGCTTTGGCCCTGGGACAAAAGAGCGGATCCTGCTCTTCTCTCCTATCCCTACTTCTCTAACAACCAGGAGGGAGATGGAGGAGGAGAGACCCAGGCCCTTGCCCAAGAGCCCTGGGCTTGCCCACTTAACAGCCAATGAGCCACAGAGGGCACATGCCCTGGGACACTCACTGAAATGTTCCTGGATCCTGTTGAGAATGTTCATGCTGTGCTTGCTGTCCACCATGTTGACGGCCAGGCCTCGCTTGCCAAAGCGTCCCGTGCGCCCAATCCGATGCAGGTATGTCTCATTGTCTGGATTCCCATCCTTGTCCACTGGCAGGTCAAAGTTGATAACCACAGACACCTGTTCAACATCGATACCTACAGTGCAGGAAGATGGAGGAGACACGGGGAAAGCAGACAAAAAAAAGCGCATGACACCCATGGTCTAATCTGTGAGAATCTAGCACCAGCAGCTGGTACCCACAAAACAAGATTTTATACCTATGGGTATAAAATAGTATGACCTGAATGGACATTACAAAAAGGATCAGATTCACCCAAAGTGATTCTCTGGTTTGAAGGACTCAAGGATTTCTCCCAGACCCACCTGGAGGATGGTCTGAAGGGGAGGGAGTTCCATCTCAAACTGCCTGATGCTATCAATTTGCCACAGCCAACACTGGAGCTATTTAAGCAAATGAGTAGCAAATATGAGGCAAGTAGGAAAACCTAGGAGCCAGAACCCTGGATCAGGATGCTGATCAAGTTCTCTTCTCCTACAGCTCAAGATCAGGAGAGCTCCATGACATCAAGAACAGAAAATTCCAAGAGCATCATCTAGCTGCTGACCCCAGACAAACCACCTGCAGGCTCAGATATCATGTCTGTAGCCTGGGGGGAATGACCATGTACTCAGCAGTGTCAAGGAGGGCAATCCAACCCCCAGCAGACCATGTCTGCAAAGGCAGAGGGAGCTGCTGATTGAGGCTCTGGGAAAACCCAAACTGCCCTTGCTAGAAAGGGGATCACAGCCGCCCTCCTGTTCTTTCCCAAGCCCGAGGCCTCCACATGGGGCAGTCTCTTCTCACCTCGAGCACACACATTGGTAGTCACCAACACTTTCTCCTTGCCCTCTCGGAAACGCTCAATCACAGCAGCTCTCTGTTCCACCATCATTTCGCCACTCAGGAGGGCCACCTGGTGGCCTTCTTTGGATAGTTCAGCTGCCAGCCAACCAGCTGTTTTGCGGGTCTGGAGTGAAAAGAATTTAATAAAATGAAGATACCAGAAACTGGTTTCAATCATTAAATTAAATGAAGATTTCATCCTTGAATTAAACAACTAAGAGTCATGTCTCTGAAATCTTTGAAGACATTTTAAAAATTTTGTCACTGGGGCATTTAGATGTTTTCCCTAAAGATGCACTGAAAGACCTCCAGTGCATTGGGTGGATCCTCTTTGGTGGATTGATAGGAAACCCAAACAAGAACTGTGCAGCCAGGGTAGGGTGGATGCATGCTGAGCAACCACATCAGAGATAAGGACACCATTAAAGTAAGAGGCTTTAAAAAGCAAAACAAAAATGCCTTGAAGTCCTATATTAAAAACAACAACAATAATAATAATAATAAAAGTTAAGAGGCAGGGGCAGCTAAGTGGTGCAGTAGATGGAGCATCAGCCCTGGATTCAAGAGGACCTGAGTTCAAATCTGGCCCCAGACATATAACACTAGCTGTGTGACCCTGGGCAAGTCACTTAACCCCATTGCCTAGCCAAAAAAAAAAAAAAGGTAAGAGGCTTTGTAAGTAATACTAATCTAAGTACTATTACTAATGAAGACCAATCAAGTTGCATTTTTCCTGCTTCTGCCCAAAATGTATCTCCCCCTTTCCAAGTCAATGAGATCCCTGGCTGAAAGGGAGGGGACATAATTTTTTCCTGCTTCCTGTTAGACCTGTGCTTTACTGAGTGCTACTCACGTGACAGAAGATCATGGCTTGTGCGATGGTGATGGCCCCATAGAGATTACAAAGGGCCTGGAACTTCTCATCCCGGCTATTGCACAAAACATAATACTGCTTAATGGTATCTAACGTTTCCTCTTCTCGCTTCAGTTTGATGATGTTTGGGTCTGGGACGACCTTTTGAGCAAACCTCCACACGGAGTCTTCGAAGGTGGCAGAGAAAAGCAGCATCTGACAGTCCTTAGGGAGCATTCTAGAAGGCAAACCCATGCACACTCGTCAACATCCTGATGCAAAGTTATAGGTAGGTGAATGGTCCTAACTCGCTATTGTATTTCTTATTTCTCAGCCTGTATCTAGAAGCTTCGAAGACGATAGAATTAGAAGTAGATGATAAGCAAGCTATGTTACCCTCCAAGTACCTAGTTTTAATTTTCTGGCTGCAGGTCAAAAGAAAAATTCCTCAGCAACATCTAAGTCTCAGACATAGAAAATACTGAATTAGGAAGTCAGGATAATCAGAATCCCAATCCCAGATTTAACAATGATTAGCTAGGTGTGTGAGCTCGGACAAGTCACTTAATTTCTATCTGGGTTTCCTTATCTATAAAAGAGCAAAAATAATTCAGTCTCTTTGTTCACGAGGAGGTGATGAAGATCAAATGAATTAACAGAACTTTTACCTATCAAACTGAAAATGATAATAAAAGATGGAAATCTTCAGGGGTAGAAGGCTTTGGGATAACGGACATATCAATACATTGTTGGTGGAGATGACAACTGTTCCAATCATTTTGGAAAAGCATATAGAATTATGATACAAGTCACTACATTATTCATATCCTTTGACCCAGGATTGCTGGGCATATTTCCCAAAGAGGTCATAGGAAAAACACAAAACAAAAAACTAGAAACAAAACTGGATATCCATGGAAGGATGGCTGAATAAATTGTGTTCTATGAATATAATGGAATATTACTATACGTAAGAAATGATGACATGCCAAGAACTCAAATGTGTGAATACTTTTGTGACCTTATGGAGAATGAAGAAAACAAAACCAGAAGAACAGTATCTATGATGACTACAATTATGTAAATGAAAACTGCAATAAAAGTCATCGAGTGCAAATTATCCACAATGACTTATGCTAGTCACAAAGAGTTCTACTGTCTGAGCAGCAGCAGCAGAAAACCAGGGTGTAGGTCACCACACACCCCACCCCCCCATCCCCCCCCCCCCACACACCACTGTAATCTCAGAAATGACAGTAGTGGAAAAACAAAAGGCATGAATAAAATTCGACAGGAAAAAATGAAATGCAGTGTAAGCCAGTCCAGTTTATTTTCCCTCCAGGGAAAGCATCACCATGGACAGCTCCCTGCAGGCTGAAAATGGCAGCCAGCAGCAGCAGTGCTCAGCACACAGGATTCTAAAAGCTAAGAGCTGGAAGGGGCCTTCCAAGTTATAGAGGACAGTCTCTCCATTTCCTTTATCAATGAAGAAATTAGCCCAGAGCATTTATTATTCAAGATCATCCACCTGACTGGTGGCCAAGCCAGAACTAACCTTACTCTCCTATTAAACACAAGAAGATGGCAACTGGCTTCGAGGGAACAAAAAGGCATGCGCGCCCCCCCCCTTTTTCAGGGCATGGTCAAGCTGCCACCAGCAGGACCCTTTGGCCTCCTCCTGCTGTGGCAGGGGCTGACAAAGTGGGCAGCCTTGTGCTGTCAGTTGCAGGGGACTAAGGTGCTGGGAAGGGCAAGGGGACAAAAAAAAAATCACATAAAAGAAATGCTAATGGAAACTCTAACTGTGGGCCAGACAGAATAAACAAATCCCTGCATTTATAATGAATCCTTTTACTTTGGCAGCAGTCATAAAGATTAAGATGGAGTAAAGAGTCTCACTCATTCTGTCACTATATCTTCAACAGATATCACAACTAAAATACTCCCAAGGAATACAATCTGCAATCTGTAATGCTACAGGGAACTGCTCTGGCCTCTCTCAGTAAGTGACCACCCTTGTGACTCAGCAAATGCTTAGTGTCCAGGTCCCAGGGGAGAGACGGTGGTTTTGGAGCACAGTTAGTTTCCTGTAGGAAGATTTCCTCCCCTCATTCCCATCAGCATCTCGTACCTCTGGATGCGGATACTCTGATCCTGATGGCCTTGGGTGGCTATCATCACGTCAGCTTCATCTAGAACGAACACCTTGATCTTTTTGGGGTCGATGAACTTCAGCTTGGAGCACCAATCCAGAACAGTGCCAGGGGTACCAATTACGATCTGCTCACTGATCTTCTGGCCTCTTTCTACTGTTGAAGCAAAAACAAGTTCTCCATGAGATTGCTTTTGGTCACCACACAGTTTGAGTTTTTCCCTGGAGTCCTATGGAATGATCATGTGGCCCCAGAAGTATGCCCACAAAGCCAGAGAGAAGAAAAAGGAAAACCCATCGACGGGAAGGCTGGATTTGCAAGGTGACATGTAAGTGTACAGACAGAAACACAAGAGGCAGAACCAAGCTGTCCTTTGCCCTCTGGAGCCAGCCTCCACATGCTGACACCTTATCCCACGAAGAGAATCCTCCCTCCTCATGCTCCTTTTCACCACCACTATCCCAGCTGAGGCCCGAGCTACTTCACATCCGGATGACTGCATCAGAGATGCAGCATTTAATGCCTCCAAGCCACCTGGCACACCACTTTCAGATTCATCTTTTCCTATTACTTGCCAGACTGTCAATTCAACAGTGAAAAATCTTTAATAGTTTAGCCATTCTGAAAAGCAATTTGGAATTATGTCACTTGAGGGGAAAAAAAAGTGACTACAATGACCCAAAGCTCCATTGCTAGGCAAACGCTCCAAGTAGTTGAAAAGAGGAAAGTTCCATATGCACCAAGATTGGATGTGTTCCTGACACTCTGGCCTCTGCTGCTACCTCATCCTGGACCTTTCCTCAGGCCTTGGGCTTCCTCCACCAGGCCAGCTCCCATCAATGAGTTCTTCTGGGAGCCTCCTGACATCATTCTGCTGCCAGCTCTGTTCCTGTGGGACTCCAAAAGCATGGCCCCAGGCCAGGTACCTTCAAATGCTTCCCCTCCCCGCTCCTCACGTTTTCAGCTCCCATTTGTGTGCTGTCTTTCCTCACTACAATGGAAGCTCTGTGAGGGCAAGGCCTTTCTTTTGCTTGTACTTATGTTCCCAAAGCTCAGACCAACACCTGGCACCTACAGGACTGTAATAGAATGTTACTGGACTACAAGAATCAATGAAAACTGCAAAAGAATTCAAAGAAGCAGAAGAAAACAGAAACAGAAAACAATACATAAAATGACCATCTCAATGCAAAGAACAGAAAACCAAAACTAAATTTAAAATCTAATTATCACGACCAAGCTAGGCCCTAAGAAAATGCATCTCTCTCTCTCCTTTTCAGAGGTAAGAGATCACAGGTATGGATTGTGTGGATATTGCATATACCATTAGATGTGACTGACGTATTGATTGGTGACACATTCCCTGCCCTTATGTTCTAATGAGAGGAGATAAGATGAATACAAAGTAGCTTTGGGAGACAGGGTATGAGCAGCTAGGGGCGATCAAAAAAGGTTTTGTGAAGGTGATCCCAAAGCTAAGCCTTGAAAGAAATTATGGGCTCTCCAGGGTGGAGATTAAGGAAGGAGACACCAGAGCAAAGGCACCGTTTGACGAACAGCCCACAAGGCAGTCTGGTGACTGATGTGCAGAATGCAAGGAAGAGAGGAATGGACAACAAAGAAGGGGAAGGGAGAAAGGGGCCAAACATGGGAATGTATAGTTGACCTTAGTGTGAACAGGAAGCCAGTGAGGTTTACTGAGCAGGGGAATGGTTAACACAATCAGCTCATGCTTTGTGATGTCATTAGAATACGGAACTTCAGGAGAAAACTCCTCCCAGTGCAAGTGGGCACCTTTCCTGAAAAGGCTAAATGATTTCCCCAGAGTCATACAGCCAGTACGAAGTCTTCTCGGTTCGAGACTGGCTCTATCTCCACTACTGTCACGTACCTCTCTGACATGAAGGTAAAATAAAAGAAAAAGAAAGCAAGAAAAAAAAAAGATGTTTTTTAAAAACCAAAGAGCCATCTGCAACAACTGCCTCCTGTGTACTGTACCAGTGCCAGGCCCGCTCCACCTCATCAGATCAGTCTCTTCCTTAGCCTTCATCCACACGACACTTGTTCCTTCCTGCGTCTGTGACCCTGTCAATGTCATTTCTTTGGCCTAGAATGCCCCTCTTCCTCCTGCCTGCACAGGCAAATCCTACCCAACCTTCCAGAACTAGCTCAGCTTCTACCTTGCTCACTGAAAATTTCCTGACTAGTTCAACCCAGATTCTTTTTGAAGACAAGTGTGATCTGATTATGCTTTGTAGGCCAATGAGCCAAGGAATTACTTTGTGTAGCTGCTACATTGAAGAAAGGCATTTGAGGTAAGTATCATTTTAGTTCAGGATTCCTCAACCCTTTCCAAACAATACGTTTTTGAATGACCCTGGGCATACCTGTCTCTAACCATAGAACATTCTAACACATCTGTCCAAAAGAAATCAAAACTAGCAGGACTCTTGGTCTGGCTTTAACCACATCAATTCCTCCTCTACTGAAAAAGCAGCACCTCAGTTACTGACCACCCTTTGAACATTTCAGAAGTCCCTCTCAGAGGATTTCTTAGAGTTTGATTTCTTTCAGTCAAAGTATAAGTCACTTCAAGACCAAGGCATCTTTTCAAGGCTGACATCTGTGGGTCTCGAATGTTCTTCGAATTTCACCAGCATTTGTGTCCGATGTTCCCAACCCGCAACCTTCCTCCCCCTTGAGTAGCCTTTAAAAATGATACTCACACTTGTTGCCTCGGACAGCATAAGCCAGCTTAAGTTCTGGATAAAATTTGCCCATCTGTTCAATCACCTTTCCTGTCTGAAGAGCCAGCTCATAAGTGGGTGACAGGCACAAACACTGAAAAGCAAAGCACACAGGCTAAGCTGCCCTTCCGGGTATTTTAGACATTTAGTAGGGAAGCCTCATACTATTTACTTCAATGCAGCACTCAAACACCTGTTTTCAGGAGCTGGGCAGACAGGGACAGAGGGATCTTTACTTTTCCATAACCCCAAAAACAAATGCAATGAAAGGCAAGGGACAAATCTCCTCCTGCCCCCATCTTTTGATTACAACACACTTCTTTTGGTTGTACCACAGTAAGCTGGCAACCTCAGTGTTATGGTATTTCTGCACAGGCACTCTGACTTGGGTAAACACTCACAGGGTGGCTTATCTCTTTTCAGATAGCTGTAGATGTAGATATAGCTTTTCTAATATAATCAAGGCTCAGAGCCAAAGAACTGTTCAAATCTGCTCAAACAAAGGAAGGGCTTGAGATTCCAGTTGGAAGCTTCCCCCTCCCTCCCAGGACCTGCCAGGTTTTTTTTAATGCACTAAATGACAGCGGCTCTCCAGTGGTGCACTAGTCAGGGAACTCTCACCCACCAAACCGTTACCTGGGGGTATTTGTTCAATGGTTCCATTTGACTGAGCATAGCCAGGACGAAGGCAGCTGTTTTACCAGTACCAGACTGAGACTGGGCGATCAGGTTCTGTGGGCTACATCATGACAGAGCAGGAATATTAAAAATAAGTTTTGTTTTTAAAACGCCTAACAGCCTAAGTTCAAGAATTGCTGTGATGATAAATTTAAATACCAACTCTGTAGCAAAATGACATTTCTTACTTTTAGTTTTTTCTTATAAACAGACAAATCATCAAATAGAGAAAACGAGAAATAAAATCTTACACAAACCCCCTAATATTTAACAAAGTTGAAACAAATAAATTAACAGACAACAAACAAAAATACCTAGGCTCTATGTCCCTTTCCAAGTCTGGCTGAAGTTCTGTTACCTTTGGCTTTCTTTTAAGCACAAAGTCTACGATTCTCTACAATTCTGCGTCTGCTGATTTACTTTGCATCATTTCATGTCAATCTAGGGCTACAATATTCTATCTAATCAATTAACCATAATTTATTCAGTCATTTTCCAACTGTTGGCGTAGATTTTTTTTAAATTATTTTTGTAATCAAACAACTCTGGAAAAATTGGAACACTAATGCATTGTTGGTGGAGTTGTGAAATGATCCAACCATTTTGGAGAACAATTTGCAACTATGCCCAAAGGGCTATAAAAAAATGTGCATACCCTTTGACCCAGCAATAGCACTTCTAGGACTATATCCCAAAGAGATCGTACAAAAGGGAAAAGGACCCACACGTACAAAAATATTCATAGCAGCTCTTTTTGTGGTGGCAAAGAATTGGAAATTGAGAGGATGCCCATCAATTGAGGAATGGCTGAGCAAGTTGTGGTCTATGAATGTAATGGAATACTATTGTGCTATAAGAAATGATGAACAGGCTGACTTCAGAAAAACCTGGAAAGACTTGTATGGTCTGATGATGAGTGAAGTGGGTAGAACCAAGAGAACGTTGTACACAATAACAGCCGTGTTGTGTGATGACTAATATTGATAAACTTAACCCTTCTCAGCAATACCAGGATCTAAGACATCTCCAGGGCCCTCATGATGTAAAAAGCTATCCACATCCAAAGAAAGAACTATGGAAGTTGAATTGCTATCTTTTTTTTTCTCTTCTGTTGAATTTTGTTTCCTCTTTCTGATGGTTCCTCCTATTGGTTTTAATTTTTACTTACATCACTAATGTGAAAATATGTTTAATAGGAATGTAAATGTATAGCCTATATCAGATTGTGCGCCATCTTGGGGAGGGTGGTGGGGAAGAAGGGGGAGAAAAATTTTAAACTCAAAAGCATATGGAAATGATTGTTGATAAATTAATAAAATAAATTAAAAAAAAATAAAATTATTTTTGTACAGCTAGGTCCTTTTTTCTTTTTTAATGATTAAGGCCCTACGATTAAGGACTTTTGGACTTCTTACTGTACGTATTACAAAATTATTTTCCAAAATCTTTACATCCCTCTAAAGTCACACCAATAATGTAGCAGAAGCCTCGTTTCTCCATAGGCCCTGATTTTTAATATTTTTTCCCCTATGTAGGGGGACGGGAAGATCATTTTAGTGGGGATAAGGTGACATATCTTAAGATTACCTTGATTTTGTATTTCTCTGAAAATCTGAATGTTTCACCTTGTATTTCCTGCTTCAAAAATTGCCTGTTTATACTCCTAGAAAATCATTCCTCTGGGGAGAGTCTATTAGTCTTATAGAGATGTATCAGTTCCTTATTAACTCTGGAGATCAGAACTTCGTTTGATATCATTTCAATCACCCAAGTTTGCTTTTGGAGCCATCTCCAACTCCTTCTCCTTCACCCTAACATCTAATCAGCTGCCAAGTCTTGTCGACTTATCCACATTCACAAGTGTGCTATAAATCTGCTTTTTGGTATCATTTCAGTCGTATTCTTAATATTCTATATGTTGTCTCCGAATCGTTGTTTTATGTAACTATATTTATAGCTTCTCTTTTGCAGAGTTAATTTCTTTCCACATCTATTAGTTCTTGTTTTAATACTTTGCTCAACTCTACAAGATATTCTCATTCATCTTTTTTGTTGAATTTATCATGTAATTAGTGAGGTGTTAACATTTCATACTTCTTAATTAGGAAATAGCAAGAAGCCATTTTTTCCTGCAAGACTGTGAGGTTTTTCTTTGTGCATTTTACTACAAAATTATTGGGTGGGCATGTATTTCAAACCAAGATGCTTTAAAACTAACACCCTTTCTTTTAAATACACTTAAATATTTCGCAATTAAATGCTTTTCTTATAAATAGCATACTGATAAATTCTGTTTTAAAATCAATTCTTTGTCGTTTTTAATTATCAAGTTTGTCTATTCTTCATACTGTTATTATTCTTGTGATTAAGCCAATATTAACTCAATGAACCTACTCTAAAGAACATTCTTCTGCATTCCACTACTGGCAATGAAGATTCTTTAACCTGGAGTTTCCCTTTATCAGAGAGACTCAAGTGGAGCTCTGCTTTGGGACTCCCCTGACCTATTCCCCTCTCTCATTTTCCCCTCTTTCCTTTTTTCTGTTTCTCTGAAAACTTTTGAAATATTTGGGGATTTAGCCAATGTTACATTATGCAACACTTTTGTTAGCAACAGGTTTGTTTTGTCTTTGAGAAGGGTGAATTCTTTCAAATACCTAATTAGGAGTGGGATTTCTGATTGTTCTTCCAAGACCCCTTTTGAATATTTCTGCCTCTCATCTCTTGCAACAGAAGAGCACACTGAGCTCTGCTGGTCAGATAATCTGACAAGTGATTTTTGCCTCTATTTACCATTTCTCCCATTTGTCCTTCATCCTCTGTGGCTTGGGCCAGCCCAGGCTCAAGGGTTCCCAGACTCCTCCTGGATGCCTGGGTTTTCTTCCCTGGTGTAATAGTGACAGAGCTCAGCTGTGTCTGGTCCTGTTCAGTGCTGGTTTCTACTTGGGTATTACTGCTGCCTATTATTACCAATTTGAGAAAGCTTTCTTTGACAGTTTCTTAGACTGCCATTTCAGTTCTCTATTTTCAAACTTTAAGAGACACCAGTAATCCTGAGATGCCTCCTCTCTGCTTCCTAACCCATCATCTGCATTCCCTACCACAGATAGCACAGAGTCCTACATCATGCTCTAGCTACGCTATATTTCTATAACCAATATCTTTGTTTCATTAATAGTTTTAGTTTTAACAAAAGTAGAAGCTAAATATTTCAGGTTAATGATGTATTAAAAATACTTCACAGAAGATATATGTTAAGTCTCAGGTCTTACTGGAGGGACATTCATAATGATATTAATCTATGGTCTTAAAAATGATACTCACTAAACCATACTTCTGATAATAGGCTGCAACTGGAAATAATTAAAACTCTATTATGAAAGGACTAAACTGTCTAGATACATACGGTTCAGCAAGCATCATGGGTAGTGCATTCTCTTGTATCTTAGATGGCCGGTTAAAGCCCATAGCATAAACCCCTTGCAGAAGCTGTGGTTTCCTGGAAGAAATATTATGAAAATGAGTCATCATTCCAAATCACAGCAGGTAAGTGATAACTATACATCTTTCTACTCAGTCTACTTCCCAACCAACAAGCAGTGGTCCCTACCACTAAAGCCAAACAATTCTCCAGGATATTAACACCAGCACCTTCTCTCACAATTTCAACTTTCAATAGCTTCTTTAACTTAGAAAATTCAGAATAACCCTTTTTTCAGTACAACAAATAAATTTCTATCCACCCACAAATCAAGCCAGGCCTGGATGTCGAGTCTTTCTTAGCAACTGCAGGAGTGATGATTAAAGGAATTCATTGCAAGAAGTTGAAAAAGAACAAATATTTAAATTGAAGTTATTTCTCATTATAAAAAAATTTAAGTTTTACAAAACAGGAGTGAAGTTCTAATTACTCTCAATACAGACACTTCACAGAGTCAGATACAGGTCAGGGTAAGGAAGTATATAACATGAAGGCCCAAGTTGGGTTGTAAAAGATTATAATAGGGGCAGCTAGGTGGCACAGTGGATACAGCACCGGCCCTGAAGTCAGGAGGACCCGAGTTCAAATCTGGCCTCAGACCAAACACTTGACACTTACTAGCTGCGTGACCCTGGGCAAGTCACTTAACCCCAATTGCCTAAAAAAGGCAAAAAAAAATAAAGATTATACTACAATGACAGTAATCTAGTTTGAAGTCTAGGTCTCATCTGACTCAAAGATCTAATCTCCCTTCCTTAAAAGGGAAACAATTTCAGGGAAGGATCTTAATTCTCTGAAAGAGACTTATTCTTGTCTATGGTGACCACAATAAGATTGGAAATGTCTTTGCTTATTTTAATTAAGAAAAGGATATCTTTGGTCACCTTTTATCAGATTGAAAGGGGAATAAAGGTGCAAGTGGGACCTTGGGCAGGCTCCTGGGGCTGTGGAGGCCATTACCGGCTACCACAGGCCCTCTGCTCTGTGCTCAGTTTGAACTGCAGTACAGGATTGGACTAGGGAAGGAGAAGGTAGTCAGAAATCCATTTCTGGGCTCCAACAGCTTAGAGGGTCACTTTCTTCAGTTCCCAATTCAAAGATTGTGGAGTGGGAGTTGCATTTCATACTTTAAAAAATTATTACATTATGTTTTTCTAATCTCCAATGATTAAAATAATTTTAATTAAATTTTATGGTTTAAGAATACATGTTGCATTAAAAACAACTTTTTAAACTCTTGAATATGCTGAAACATAACATAAATTTAAGCTTAAAAACAATTGAGGGGGTGCTTATGTTGGGGTGCTTGGGTGCTTATGTTTGGGTACTGGTACTTGGGCCCCAATTTCTCCCTAGCCTCAGAAACACTGTCCTTTGATAATCATTTAAGATCAACTGAGCCCCAATAAGGACCAAAAAACCTAAATTAATCTTCTTCTCTCTGAGTGAACTAAAAACACCCCTTCCTGTGTCAGCAAATTCCAGGACCAGCTAGAGCTGATCAGTATTCTTCCTGTTTGTTATCACTGGGCCCAGGATGTCTGAGACCAGATACTCTCTAGAATAATGGGACTTTTCTTATCTTGAGTTTCAGTTGAGAACTGACCACTCCTTAACCACTCCCTAATCCCACCCTGAATCCCCTAGTTAGCATATTTGACATATGTTTTATTGCATTTTATCCTATATAAACTTTACCTGTACCTCTCTAAGGTTGCAGGATCCTTAAGAATCCTTGCCCGCTGAAAAGCGTAATAATAAATCTTCGCCACCCTTGAATTAAAGAATGCTTGAGTCTGTGAATACATTCCAGACGACCCGTCCTGTACTCCGGTCTTTGACGGGTCACAACCTCTCAACTTCTCAGCCCGCAACATTTAGATCCATTAAAGTATTTTTTCTGATTGTGTGCTAGCAAAACACTAAACTTAAATGGTATACCTGTGCTTCTACTCTGCTATTTCCTAATTACCATAAAATTTATGTTGGCAGTTGCTTGAGAGGGAGCATTCTGATTGGCAGCAGTAACTTGAATCCTTTCTCAAAGCAGAAATGCCTGCATATTTAAACTGTCTCAGACAGATTCTGGCTAAAATGCAGAGCATAGTTTTCTTTCACAGTAGCAAAAATTGTTGATGTGATATTCATTTGATTTCACAAACAGGTAGCTCCTATTCACCAAATGTCAAGGAAAAGAAAAAGAAATGAGCAGCTAGAGAGTAAGCTGTCAGATCACTCCAGGTCCCTCCTTTAGCTAATCCTGCTAGTTGTTAGTCCCTCTAACTACTGACTAACCCAAATGATCCACATTTAGAAAGTAGATTTTTTTTCCCCTACATCTTGCTTGGAATTCACAGGCTTTCTAAGGGCACATTCTGCCTGCAGCCTCTCCAGGTAGAACCTTTCAGTGTTCTCCATTTGAAAGCAGAGTGCCACAAAGCTCAATCTTCTGAACCTGTTGCCCAAGGATACACTGAGGAGTAATAGAATGAAGACTCAGTCCAAGTGCTCCCACTGATTAACCACTTTCCTTCGACACAATAAAATACATATTTCAGACATAAAACAAACCGAGTGGATCATCAAATCCAAGCTTAATTCTGTATCCCGTTGGCTGTTGACTAGAGCCAAGCACAAGAGAATCTATCTTTCAAGGAGACCAATTTTTGTCATTATAAAAGAATTTTTTCTTTTCAAATTCTTCTCCAGTGTGGAAAAGCAGCAGTAAAACAAGAGACAAATCTGAGAAGAAGCTTGGCCCTAGGCTACTGAAACAGAAGTTATCCAAGGAGGACAGAGTGGAATGTGTTAAAGTCTGTAAAAAAGAGAAAAAAAGGATCTCTAACAGAACTACTCCTCGATCTTAGCTGTCAATTTTTCATTAGCAATCTGATCGGGCTCTACTAAGCTCTACTTAAATGTTCTTAAAACAAAATACAAAAGTGTAATGTATTAACAAGGTACAGTAGTCCAGGCAGCCCCAGCACTGTGGCCTTGCCCAAAATGGGCCCTCTAAGTGCACCGATTATGAACCTGAAAGCCCTGGGGACACAAATACAAACAAGCAAGACAAGCCCTGCCCTCAAGGAGTTTATATTCTAATGAGGGAAGAAGACCAGAGCTCCAATGAGAGTGAGAAAGGGGGCAGGTGTGCAGCTTGAGGGTGAGACCTAGGCTGCCTGGTTTGGAGACGGCTACCAAGTTCAATTCAGTGAGACACATCATTCCTTTGCTTTGTGCAAGGCTGTACTAGGTGTTAAAAGACTATATGGATGCAAACATCACAGCCTCTGCTCTCAAAGATCTGCCATTTAATTGGGGAGGGGAGGCAAAACAAGGACACGACTGTAAGCACGAAATATATAAGTGGAATGAAAATAAGAGGCAGACAAAATTCTAAAAGATTTGAAAAAAGGTGGCTTTCAGTTTGGGGTCTGTAATACACAACTAACACCTCACACAATCTGGATTTTCTGTTGCTCTCACAGTTGAGCCCTTTATCATAATATGATATTATTTATGCATGTTATCTTTGTTCAGTAATTACTTTTATTTCTGCCTTGTCTCTATACTCAAAGACACGTTCCTTGTTCACAGAAGCACTAGGGAAGATGACTCAAGTACAATATTAGCCAATTAAAAACAACTAATGCCAAGCACTTATTAGGAATAGGGCAGCTTCTTCTGGGAAGTGGCTAAGGGTAGATCGGTCATCATTGTTCTCTGCCTGATGCTGCCAACACAATAGCCAGTGATCATCACACAACTCCTCCCCAGGAAAGGCCTGAAGGACCAAAGGGTGGTATTGTTGAGGAGCTTGTTTTCCAGCAAGAAGAGGAAGTAAAAATGTCTGATCAGTCCCCCAGGAGTTGAGGGAGAATCCCTGGGAGGTGTTTCTTGGGCTAGAGGCAGCTGGTGTGCCAGGGAAGCACTAAGTTGCCATATGATGCAATTCTGCCCAGCCTGCAATGAGCATCAGTGCCTAAGCAGCCAGCCAGCTGCTCCTCTCATGGTCCTCTGCTAACGTGAGAGACCTACCATGGCATGGCCAGCCTGTGGATCTGACAGTGGCCCAAGCTCTGTGCTGCACTAAGGACACAAACAGCCTTTGACCTCAAGGAACTTGCATCCTATCAAGGGAGCCAATGAGTCCAAACAGACACACACACAAAAGACACAAAATAATTCTGAGGAGAAGCAGGAAAGATTCCAGGAGAGGTGAATCTTAAATGAAACTCAGGATTCTGACTGGCTGAGATGAGAGCATTCTGGGCACAGGAACAGGGACAGGAGGCAAAGAAGGCACATTTGGCCAGATCGGAGGATTCTGTGAAAGGGAGATAGGTTTGCCAAACAGAGGGCTTTATTCTAGAGGTGCCAGGGAGTCCAGTGGGGCTGACTGCCCAGGTAAGTGGCAGCTCAGCAGCTGTGTGGAGGGTGGTATGGAATGGGAAGATACTGGATGCACCAACCAACAGATAAGGAGACTGCTGAAAGAAGGACAGCTGTGTGAATGGAGAAAAGGGGTAGCAGGGGAGAGGGCTGTGGACAGAGAAACACCCAGAATCAACAAATGACCTGGTGTGAGAGAGGGAGGAATCAATGACAGCACAGGCATGAAGCTGTGAGGATGGAGGTCCCCTCAACACAAACAGGGGAAAAGAGAACTAGCTGCTTGAGACCTGCTGCAGCTGAGACATCAGAGGACATCCAGTAGTAAACACACCATAAGCAGGTGGTCTTTGTATCTAGGGGTCACCAGCACAGAGACCATCTGTAAGCTCCTGCAAGCTGATGAGGGCACTGAGAAAAAAGAGCACAGAACCTAGGACGGAACGTGATGGTACTTGACCAAGATGTCAATCTAGGAAAGGAGACTGTGGAAGAGAGGCCAAAAGGCAGGAGAACCAAGGGAGTAGCATCAGAAAGCCAAAAGAAAGGTGAAGAGGACAGTGATCCCTGCATATACTCAGTAACTGCAGCTAAAACATCCCTAGTCCATGGAGTTATTGGTTATTTTCATTTAAAAATCTAGTCTTATAGGCTGAAGTATCTGAATTCTAGTATTTAATAACAATGTCCAAAAATAAAAGGCACATTCTGATGTGATAACTAATCCTATTTACATTCTCATAGCACTGAAAGCTTTACAAAAGAGGTCCCCCACTTAATCAAGGCTGGGCCAACCTCTCCAACTAGTTATGATATCAAAATCCCACCCTAACTTCTGGAATGCAAAGTTCTTCCAGGGGGCAGGGGATGGGGAGAACAAGAAAAGTGATACTTACAGCCGAAGCTCTTCAAAAGACTTCACTGAATAGAGGGGGGAATTTGGATCCCGCTGAAGGACCTCCACTTGATTGGTATTGTCCACAAGGTTGCTTCTAATCAGCTTGTTTAGCAAGGACTGAGCAGCTCTATCCTCTACAAGTGGGACAACAGGTCCAAACAATCAAACCGGTTACAAGCGGATCATGCCCATCCACCTAGCCCTCCCATTCTGTTCTGGTCCTGGGGTCTATCAATAGCTCCTCCTTAGGACTTTTCTCTCATTACTCAGTCAAATTTCTCACTTCTCATTTTGGCCTCACTCAAAACTCCAATTTATAAACCAAACTACGAAAATGACCAAGTTTTGCACAAAAAGTGCAAGAAACAGTAAATTACTTAAAGGGCAGGGCTGACATGTTAAAACTTTTGTTTGGTACTGTCACACCATGCTATGAATATTAGCTGACTATTATGTGGAGGTCTATTAGGAAGATGGATTTCATCTCTAGATATTTCAGGGCCTTAGGATTTTGTGCTGCCAGAACCATGACACAAGCTCCTTGAAAGCAAGAATTACTTTCTACTCATCATGTTCCTCTCCACAGGGCCTTGCAGACAGGCCGTGTTCTTGTTCAGTCATTTTTAGTTTGACTCTTCGTGACCCCATTTGGGGTTTTCTTGGCAGAGACACTGGAGTCGTTTGACACTGCCCTCTCCGGCTCATTTTACAGATAAGGAAACTGAGGCAAACAGGATGAAGTGACTTGTCCAAGGTCAAACCACTAAGTGTATGAGGCCAGATTTGAACTCACAAAGATGAGTTTTCCTGATTCCAAATCCAGCACTCTATCCTCTGTGCCACCTAGCTGCCCTGGAGAGTAGGTATTCAGTCAATACTTACTATAAAAGAATGTAAGTTATTTGTCAAAATAAAGTTCTAAAAAAAGCTCTGAAGGAACATCCTATTTGATTCTTTTAGAACTTAATTCCCAGAATCTCTCTAACTTCTCTTCTGCTGTAAGATTGCCAAAGTTACCTTTCTCCTCTTCATCAGTCTTCCCTGGATTCTCATCAGCTTTGACAATACCTGTATCAGAAAGACAACTGCTGTTATTCAAAGACCCGTATCAGATCTGACCATTTAAGTACTATGACAGATTTTGTTTCAGAGTTATCTAATGAAGCGGACCCTCTGGTAGCCAAACTTGGGCAATTTTAGTCGTCCCAAATGAAAAGAATCATTATAAATTTAACACCAGTAAGTTAAAGGTAGCTATTACTGAGTTTATGTGGTCATAAATATAAGGTATTGGCACATGGAACAAAAATTTACTCCTAAAATTGAGGTTTTTGTTCCTGAAAACTAATACCAGCATTTTCCTAACAAATAAATCAGTAGCTAAAGCAGCTATAGTCTAATAAAGCTTCCATAACCGGACATTTTGGGCTTCCAGTATAAAGTATATATATACATACACACAACTCTTTCTCAAACACAAGGGAGAGAGATAATTAACTTTGATCTAAGGTAAATTCTGGCCCATTGTGTCCTACTGAGGCTTCGTTTGGGGTATATGCTTTGTCTAGATTGCCCGAGGAGGGGGAGATGGGGGGGTCTAGGAGAGAGTGATCAATGCCCTCATTAGAATGATTCTACTTTTCATTATAATATTTATTCTTCTCATTAATTGTTAACCAATCAGTTGATTGCCACCCTCAGGAATACCCACTCTTCCAAGGGCATATAAGCATTGAGTGGGTTCCATGAGCAGTCTCTGGCATTGGAGAGTGCTAGTGACCCCTTTTATTATCTGCTAGCAATAATTAATAAAATGGCTAAAATTATGTCTCCTGAACTTTTTTACATGTCACACACAGAAACACTCTTCTCTTGCTCTCCCTGATGAGATAAAGACCAGCACTACCTAAATATCTATACATTTGAAACTTGAGAGCCAGTCTGGCATAGTAGACAGCAGGACAGCCTTGGAGTCAGAAAGACCAGGATTCCCATTCCGCCCTTAACATATACAGCCCGTGTGATTCTTAGCAAGTCCCTTCACCTCTCAGGACCCTAGATAAGCCTCTAAGAGGAGAAATTCCAGAGGAATTGCCCAACTACATTCAATCAACCAACAAGCATTTATTTAAACCTAATTGTGTGCCAGGAACTGGAAAGCCAAGTATAATAAATGAAACAATACTAGGGAAATCCTGATATCTTAATAAGGAAGACAAGTCCATATTTAAGTTCATATTCTAAAAATAGAATAAAATAAAGAGTAAATACAAGGGAGTTGGAGAAGGAAGGCAGCAGCAGTTGGGAGATTAAGAAGGCTTCATGTAGAAGATGGAATTTAAATCTCCAGACAGTTATGAAAAAAGGGACTCCAAGAAGTGGAAGCTAGAGGGGAGTGCAGTTCAACCACAGAAGACGGGAGACGGGAGTGTCATATGTGAGGAACACAGAGATGGCCAGTTTGGCTGGATGGAGTGTGGAAAGGGGGAATAATGTTCAATGAAGCTAGATATAGATTGGGGTAAGACTGTGAAGGGCTTTAAAGGGTAAAGAGGGGGGTTTATAATTTATCTTCCAGGCAATGGGGAGCCCCTGGAGCTGACTGGGGAGGAGGGAGGATGTGAACTTGCTGATTGATTAATTGTATAGGGGGTTCCCTAACTGGGTGTTCCCAACATTGTGGCTGTTACAAATTCAAAGCAGAAATCTCCAAGGAAAACACACACTTCTTTTTTTTGTAAAATGACTTTTACATTGGCTTATGGTTACTAACTACTCACCGTTGGCATCTGCTTTGATTTTCTCTTCCTTGATATGCAAGTTGCTCAACTAAGTGGAGAATAAAAGGCAAAAGTTTCAGACAAATTAATTACTCGGTCAAACAGAGACTTCCAGCCCTAAGAGCCTCCCAGAGAAGCTGGTGGCAGGAATAACCTCCTAAGTTTCACTTGGATCAATCACTGATTGCAGAATAGTGCCTTTGGGTCTAGAGGGGAGGGACTATTGATTCATAGATCAGATTTTACTTTGTGTGTTCAGAGTGCCCATTTACATTTTTTTGCTTCACGACTTATGAACCGAATTGATTTTGTTTGTCAGCTACATTCTCTTGGGTGAGGCAGCAGTTTTAAGTCAACAGAGGTCGGGCTGGGGCATCAGCCCTGCCTCTGACACATTCTGCCTTGTGACCAAGGCCAAGTCACAGAACCTCTTGATACCTCAGGCATCTCAGACTCAAAAGTACAGAAGATGAGCACCAGTTTCCACACCAGTGGTGAAATCACATAGGTACAAACCACCTCCAAAAACCTTATACAGTACTACCTGTGACTTTGCAAAGTGGAAAAGTATGTCATTTAAACATCACACATATATCCATTTACTCTGATTTTCCCCAATAAACCTCAAAATTACATAAAAAATTGAAAGGAGCATCAGTTGACAAATAAACTAGGGTTTAGTGTTTTACTTTGCTTTGGCCTGGCTTCAGTACCACCTAAGACCCTAGTTATATCCCACAGTGGCTACTAGTCATTCCTGGTCACTGTTAGCCCTCATTCATGGAGAACGTTAGCCCAGAAACAGTCTTCATTCATGACTTTGGGTACTGTTTTGCTATCAAGATAAAGAACCAGACACTCTCTTGGCTCCAAGCATTTTCTCTGGCTGCCCCCATGCCCCAAATGCTCTCCCTCCACATCCCTCCCTCCTGGCTTCCTTGGCTTTCTTCAACACCCAACTGAAATTTCATTTTTTACTGGAAAGCTTCACCAGCCCTTCTTAATTCTAGTGCATCCCCTCTGCTGATTATTTCCTAATTATCCTGTATGTAGCTTGTCTGTCTCTATTTGTTTGCACGTGGTCTCTCTCCCTCATTAGACAACATGAGTTCCCTGAAGGCAGGGACTGCCTTTTAACTCTTTTTGTATTCCTAGTGCTTAGCGCACACAGTGCCTGGCACATAGTAGGTGTTTAATAAACACTTATTGACTGATTATTGTGGCAGTAACAGTTCACATTTATTTAACATTGTATCATTTGTAATGTGCTTCCCTCCCAACAACCTTAGGGGGTAGACAGAACAGATATTTCAGCCCCCATTTGGTAGATGAGGAAACTGAAGCCCAGCTAGGGTGACCCACTGAAGCACATAAAGACAATGTTGGTATAAGATCATTAGGATTGTCATTCTTCACTGCTAGTTCACAAAAGGCCAGTTCTACTAATGGGTGTAACAATAATTCACATGTATATGATGCTTGCTACATAGTTTAAAAGAGCTTTCCTCCTGACAAACCTCTAACAGTATCATCTTTATTTTACAAATCAGGAAACGGTGTCAGAGAAGTTAAATGACTTAAAGGATCAGAGCTTCAGGCAAGTAAAGGGCTCTTTGAAGTCATCTCATCCCCCCCATTTAGTTCAGAGAGATTCCCTGCCTTGTCCCCAACATCACATGGGGAGTAGGTCACAGAGGTGGGATGCAGCCTCAGGTCCTGGGACTTTAAGTTCAATCTAGTAGCTGGCACACAGAAGGCCCTTAATAAATGTTTATTGATTGACTGACCTGGTGCCCTCTGGCCTCCTTGCCATTCCTCACACTAGACACTCTGACTGGGTGCGGTTTAACTGGCTGTCTCCCATGCCTAGAATCTCTCCCTGTCTCCCTCCCCATTGACCCTTTCTTGTGGCCTCTCTGGCTTCTGCCAGAAGCCTTTCCCAGATTCTGTGATTCCAGTTCCAGTTTATCCTGCTGGTCCACAGTTGTTGCCTCCCCCTTTACAATGTGAGCTCCTGGAGAGCAGGGACTCTGGTTTTTGCCTTTCTCTGCATCCTCGGTGCTTAGCACATAGTAGGGATTGAATGAACACTTGCTGACTTGACTTGGGATTAAGCCACAAAGAAGATAATCCTTGACCTCAAAATGCTACATTCTACTGAAGGACATACAATTTGTAGAGTAAGGAGAGCGCTAGCAACCGGAGGGAAGGAGTAGCCAAGTGAAAGCTTCAGAGAAGAGATGAACCACGTTGTGCTTTGATTCTGAGGGGCAGGGATGAGAAGGCACAAAGGAAGGTTAGAACAAAAACATTCCCCGTCTCATCCCTCCCTGCAGGACCCCTGCTTTAACAAGCTTGCTTTCCCTTCTTGTGCCCAGAGCCTCCTCCATCCTTCCCAGTCATCTCCTCAGCGTCCTTGTGGCCAACACTCCAACTATCAACTTACCCTCTGTCTTCCTGGGCACCCTCCACACATATCTTAGAGTGAGCCCCTAAGTCCCCTAACTCAGATCAGCAAACATTTGCTTTATCTTGACCAGAATCAGGATTACACAACACTTCACTTCAATCACTTCTGTAGTGGCAGAACTGTACTCAGCACTCTTTCTGGCTCCCCTTAATATGGTGTCTTTCTCCATTAGAATGCCCAAAGGGCTACCAAATTGTGCATACCTTTTGACCCAGCAATTATTAGTAGGTCTGTATCCCAGAGAGATCCAAGAAAAGGGAAAAGGACCTACATGTACAAAAATAATTTATAGCAGCTCTTTTTGTGGTGGCAAAGAATTGGAAATTGAGGGGATGCCCATTAATTGAGGAATGGCTAAACCCATTGTGGTATATGATTGTGATGAAATATTGTTGCACTATAAGAAATAAGCAGGTGCACTTCAGAAAAACCTGGAAAGACTCACACAAACTGATACAAAGAGAAGTGAGTAGAACCAGATCATTATGCAAAGTAACAGTGATATCGTAATGATGATCCACTGTGAAAGACTTAGCTTACTCCAATCAATACAATGATCTAAGACAATTCCAAAGGAGTCTTGATGAAAAATGTTATCTACCTCCAGAGAAAGAACTGTTAAATTCTGAGGGCAAATTGGGAAAAAAAGGAAAAAAAACACAAGAAAATAAGTTCCTTGAGGGCAGACTGTCTTGCTTTTTGTATCTGTATCCAAAGTGCTTAGTACAGTTTAATACATGTTTGGCTCCATCCATCCATCCATCCAACCAACCATCTATCACAAAGGCATTATGTGCCGAGTTCAGGGAACAGCTAGTAGTAGTCAGAGTGTCAACTGCATGAAGATGAGCAAAGACTGGAGTGAAGGAGCCAGATATGGGAAGGCTTTAAATACCAAGCTAAAGAGTTTACATAGATCTGTACAAGCCAGTGGGCTACAAGGTGGGAGCAATGACTCTCAGGTGTGTGTAACTAATCAGAGGGTGGGAAGGTAAGTTGTATCTCTCATGGGACCCTTGTCTTCAACTCTACCTCCCTGATCACCCTCCAGCACTCCAACAGTGGCCCTCAACTAGTCAAGTTATTGACTGCCTGTATTTTAGCCAGCAGCAGTTTCTAAGTTAACTACTTCCAGGCATCTGGAAGCAGCAGCAGCAGCAGCAGCCCATAAAGGTAGTAGTGGAAAAATGGCCTCTCCTCGTCCTTCTAGTCACCAAGGTACACATCACAGCTCTGGTATCATATCTGACTCCTTACTCTCTCATTCCACATATCCATTCCAGTGCAAAAAAATCTTATTTCTACAACCATAACATCTTCCTCATCTCCTCCCTTCTCTCTGCTCACATAGTTGCCACCTTTATTCAAGCCCTCATCAATAAAATAGGGGATGATAATAACTCCCCTGACTACAATGTAATTGCAAAGATAAAATGAAGTAACGTGCATAAAAGTACTTTTTGTTATTCAGCCATGTCCAACTCTTCCTGAAAACCCCGGAGTGGTTTGCCATTTCCTTCTCCAGCTCATTTGACAGATGAGGAAACTAAGGCCAACAGGGTGAAGTGACTTGCCCAGGGTCACACAGCTTAATAAGTGTCTGAGGCCAGATGTGAACTTGACAGAGTCAAGAGAAAAATCATGCTTTCCTTTTCACTGGGTACTCTACAAGTTTATGTTACCCAACTTCAATTGGGCCCCCACAGTTGCTAGACAATCCTTCTACACCTCTTCTACCAACTTAATAGTATTCCATTCTCCACAATAGCTCTTCCAAACCTTTTCATCCCTCCTCAAATTTCCCATGGCTGTCCTCCCCACCCTCTCAGCTGAGAACTTTGCCTCGTATTTTACAGAAAAAAACTGAGGTTGCTTGCCCTGAACTCCCTCTTCTCTCCTCTTCCTCATCTCCTATCACTTCTGCCCCTCTCTACTCCTTCACTCCCATTTCACATGAAGAAGTTCTACTCCTTAGCAAGGTTAACCCTGCTACTTGTTCAAGTGACCCCATTCCATCCGGTCTTCTCTGTCATCCTCCCTCTCACTTATTTTCAATCTCTCCCTTGCTACTGCCTAGAAACATGCCCAAGTCTCCTCTATCCTGAAAAAACCTTCACTTGATGTTTCCATCCCTAACTATATCGTCCTATATCTCTTCTATTTGTGACCAAACTCAAAGGCCATCTACAAATAACAGCCTTTACTCCCTCTCCTTTCACTTGCTCCTTAATTCCTCACTTCCCATCATACCATTCCACCAACACTGCTTTCTGCAAGGTACCAATGATCTCCTATCTGCCAAATTCAATGGCCTTTTCTCAGTTCTCATTCTCTTTGACCTCTGAACAACCTATGACATTGTCCTCCACCCCCACCTTCTCCCTGATACTCTCTTCTCCACAGGTTTTCAGGATGCCCTCTCTTGGTTCTCCACCTCCCTATCAAACTGCTCCTCCTCAGTTTCCATTGCTGGATCCTTACCCAAACCACACACACTTGTCCTAGGTGTCACACAGGGCTCTATCTTGTTGGGGTTCTCTTCTCTTCTCCCTCGGTACTACTTCACTTGGTGAGCTCAT